CTCCTTCAGAATTTTTCGTTGATACAGATATGATCTATCTGGTTCTCTGTGGTGTGGTCCGGTGAGATCCATGTAACTTTGTGTATGCGTTTGTGGGGAAATATTTTGCCGCCCACAACCAATTTGTTGAATGCACATAGATATGCAAATCTCTCACCATTTTCATTTCTCTCAGCCAGTCCATATTGTCCCATGATATCTTCATAACCCGATCGCCCATCAGGATGGTGAGGTCCTTTCTTGGGGACTTCACTATGATTAATTGCAGCATCGAGTTGAACTGATCTTTATTGTCAACGTTACTATCACTGGTTAATGCATAATACTGGATAATATTCATTGTGATCCCCTGCTTATTTGTTTTGAATGGTACTTCGATAATTCTGGATGCGTGAGATTCCCATCCTGCAAGTGCATTACGTGCTTCTCTGGACAACATTAGAGCAACTGCTTTAGTGGGTGGAGTATTTTCTTCTCCGTGACCGGAGTACAACAGCATCTCTCGTATATCAGGCCTCTGCTGTCCAGCTTGTGTCCAGTGGGTTTCACTGATTCCTTGTACAGTCAGTTTGTATCTCCTCATTTCCATTGAAATTTGACTAGTCTTCCCGGTCCCCACATTGTCTGGATGTTCCATGTACCCATAAAAGGTGTTGCTCTGGTTTCTAGAAGGGACATCTATCTCGTGACTTATAAGAATCTCGGCTTTGGTCTAGCTTCAATTGACTCACGATCTCAACTCTATAAAATATTAAGTGAGTTGGAGAATGTCACGTGGTTAAGTAGTAAACTTGAGCATCAGTTTGAAGGTAAATCATTCTATAGCATGTATCTATACAAGGCATCCGTCTCGTGACTTGCAAAGAATCTCGGCTTTCATTATGAGGCGTTATAATTCTTCCTTCAACTATGGGGGCAGAGATTAAATGGTTTAAGTTGTGTAATCTGGTTGCCGTTTTTCTAACAGGATTTTCTTCTATTGGATGTGATTTCCGAACCCGTGTCAAACCACACACTTATACCTGGTTTCGGGACCGTCAGTAACTCCAGAAGTGCTACAAGCAGAGTTAAAAAGCACTACATTACCAATAACGATCACATACGAACTTCTTGATTAGCAGTTTATTGTACAGAATGTACAAAAGAGAGTGGAAAATCAATGAACCTTGTAAAGCCAACTGACGTTAAACAGAATGTCACATGTCATGTACCTCAGTAGAACAAGTGAACTGACAGAAATATAGCTTTCAAAACTTTTGAAAAGCCTCACACTTCTATAAACTATTGTCCTAGAAACAGTATACCATTGAGTTACAAAGAATTCCTCACACACACGTCCGTCTCCAAAATTTTATCACAATCACAGTCCGACCGCCTCTTAAATGGCATGTTCCACGGAACAATTTATTATTTCCATCAATCTCGTACATCTGTAACAAGAACATTCATCTAGTGTATTATTTGTGTGTTCTCATCAATTTAGACATTTAATCCACTTTGTAAATTTATGTGTGAGCCTGATTGACCGCATGTGTCTGCATATCCATCACCAATCTATTCTCTCATTGGTTGAATGCAAAGATGATCAATAATTTACCCATAGTCCATTAACACTCATAATTATATATATGGAGTTTTAACACTCATTGACACACACACACACACTCACTCACTCACTTGATTTCCCTGTGTGCATGCTATCTGTACACTTGCGGATTCTAACCAAACTTCAACAATAAGCCATTTGCATAACTGGTGTTCAAGCTTTTGAATCATCTCGAGTAAATCTATCATTCTACTGGGAGATTTAGCCTGCATTAAATATTCGGTTAACGGGATATTATTTATTTATTGGAGTCAAATATAGAGGAGGAGAATTGATGCTCTACGTAGTTGGTGAGCCGCATTTGGAACACGCACCATTTCTCTACAAGTCTGCTGCATATTCACCAATCATATTATAAGCAACTTCACATTGGAATTACTGTTACAATTGTTAACAATTCACATATTTGATTGCAAAGTGACAGCTTGTTTCTGTCGGTGAGTCTCTCATATATGTTCCTTGTTGTTATTGGTTATTTCTTCATATTGTATGTTTCAATCCACAGCTTAATATTATTGCTACTGTCATTATTTCTTTGTAACATGTTATCTGATGATTCATCAAGCCTTCCATCGAATTCTTTTTTCCATGGGTGCCATCTCTGTACCTCTACTTGCTTTAAAACTTCGAGAGGCAGAACTCTGATTTGCACACTTAGAAAGCGTTTATGTCGCAAATAGAATCACAAGTGAAAGCACGAGATTTAGTTACGTAAATTCGTTGCTGCCAGATGACGTTATTGAGCAAGTGCCTGACGTCATTTTTAAACCGTATCCTGACTCACTCTATGATTGTCTAGAAAGGGAAGTCATACATAGCTAACGAAACCAATCCTCAATTGATATTGGTCAATTGCTCTTATTTTCTAACAAACACTTTTCACACTACTGACAACAAATACAAAGCATATGTATGATTTATAAATTTCTACTCGTTCACATTCTCATAATGATCAACAGAGAGATGAGATGAATTTCCATACTGAACTACAACATGATTGACTATTCATTTTGCTTCAAACCGATCACTGATTTATATTTTATTAACATGTAGATCATTAATTTTTTTTATATCACGCTGACATTCTGGCTGCAAAAATACTGAGATCAAACACGCATTCCTACAGAATGTCCTAAAAACATGAAACATCATTGATATTCTGTTCACTCAAAACTTCATTCTATTCGTTGCAAATTTATCCTGTTTAAAATAAGCTCGACTTATAAACACCTTTCCATGTACCTAAATTAATGGTTGCTATAAATGTCAGAAGGGGCCTCAGCCTCGTGACGTTCGAAAGAACTCGGCTTTCATCATTAGGATTCCAAACTCTTTAAGTGAAGAACTTCTAACTCACAGGGCACAGTTTAGGTGGTTTGAATTATTTTTTCTGGTTGGCGTTCTTTAGCGAGCTTGTTCTCTGTGAGATAGGTTAGCTAACCCCATGCCCAATCCTCCCCCATTATTTGAGCTTCGGACCAGCAGTAGCCACAAAAGGGATTCCAGGAAGGTCTAAACGCATTAATGATAATAAAGAAAGATATGAGTAGAAATCAGTCAATAAGGAGTTAACGGAAGGTGAAAATGACGTAATCAAAACTTCAGGAAGAGTTGAAATAATGAATGACGCAATAAAAAGAATGTGATGTCACAAGGGAAAGGAAAGATGTTTTACTGTTTTTTTGAACACATACATCAGGCTTTGGGTATTTGACCTCCATAGGTTCGGCGAATTTCAAAAAAACAATTCGCCAAAATTATAGTGGAAACTTGGAGAACGACGAAAGCCATCATCCAGAAGATACAAGTGTCTATTAACAGTTGTCTACGCAAAATACTTCGGATCCGTTGGCCAGACATTATCGGCAACAAGTTGCTGTGGGAGAAAACAAACCAGATTTCAGTGGAGGAAAAAATCAGGAAGAAGTGCTGGAAGTGGATAGGACACAGATTGAGGAAATAGCCTAACTGCGTCACATGGCATGCCCTCACATGTAATCGTCGATGCCAAAGGAGAAGAGGAAGAACAAAGAACACATGACGTCGAGAAATGGAGAAAGATATGAGAAGAATGAACAAAAATGGAATATAACTAGAAAGGAGGGAGGAGGACAGAGTTGGTTCGAGAAGGCTGGTCGGTAGCCTATACTGTATTGGGGGTAACAGGTGTAAGTAAATAAAGTAACAAAATAATCATGTTTCGGATATATTTCTGTAGTAGCAAAATTTATGAGTGAATCAATTTCATCGTTCAAATGTTATGGTTCAGATTTGTGGTATATCTGTTGGTTGCTGCACCAATCATCAGTTTCGACAAATCTACGCATTTCAAATTTACTAATAACATGAAATGACTTAGTGAAATCTTTTCTGAATGAATTTATACCGTGAGATCGCTTTCTCGTTCCCTTTCACGCTTATATGTATGAAGCCGGTGCGTGTGTACACCCATCAGACTGATTGAGTTCCTCTGAGATTCACGTCTAGCTAGAAATGTTCATTCACTTGTTGTCTTATTCCTATTGCGGTTGAAAACACTCCAAAACACAAACTGCTCATCATGTGTGAAGACATACGAACAGTTTACTTCTATTTGAAGTCTGTGCTCATGATATTGTGGAATAGGACAGAGAAAGGTTCACAAATAAACCACTTGGGTGATTGAACCAAACTCCACATACATTTCAACCAGTCACACGTCTTGAAGTTAACCGAACATAGATTTTCTCACTATGAAATCGATAAATATTCTTCAGTCACTTATCACTTTTGCACCACTTTGATAATCCAAACCATGATAACTGTTCATGAGAATACTGCAAACACTTCTGCAACTTACTTGCATACTACTGAATTCAAAGCTGATAATATAATTTCAGTCAGATTACATTTTGGTATTTCATTTCACCAATTGTTCACTATCTGATTTGTTGATGCTATATTAACTACTGACAAGATTGTATACACTGATTCATCTCATTGTATCATACATAATGAGAGAAATATGCGTACTTAATACAAGCAAACTTGTCTCACATTGTTTGATATGACAAATGTATCTGACTGACATATACACCAACACAACAACAACAACAACAACAACAACAACACAATTATTGCACATGTGTAAAATTGAATATTCTCAATTCATCTGACTCCAAAAATATTTTACCATGATTTGACAACTTACAATTTCAGAACAATTGAGTCGAATGTGTATGAGTTACTATTGAGCAAACAGTGCAACACAGACAGTTTATAATTGGGATTCAATGTGCATTGCATTAGAATCAATTTGCTTATTTTGCAAACAACAGGATATAGAAAAGTTGAATCTCAATTCTGTTTATTGCAGCCATCACTTTCGTAAATCGTATTCGAAATCATATTGTCGATGAATATGAATTTGTCAATATCACAACAATTTTGGAATAAATTGTTCATTCTGTTGAACAGTTGTTTCGTCGTAAGTCAATCTACTTTGTTCAAGTCTCCCATTCAAGATATTTGGCATTGTTCTTCTTGTGTTAGGCATCAAAGCACTTGAAACAGTGAACGAATTCGCCAAAATTTTGAGTGGGATAACACCAGTTATCATTCCAACAGCAATCTTCATAGGATGCCTCATTCTAGTAGGTACAATTATTGGATACATTGGATTTTGGAAACCGAAACAGTTCATTATCATACTGGTAAATATTGAATCATTTGTCTTTTCTATCAACCAACATGATATTCTTCTGTTCTCTTTACTTGTGTATAGCACATTGCATGTTTATGTCTTGCAGTGATAGTAGAGATTTCCATAGCCACAATGACGGTTACATCTGGAGAAAAAGTTGGTTGAATGTATAATATGAGCATGTTGAAATTATTTGTGTTTTTGTGTTGAACAGTTTCAAACAGCCGCTAATCATTCAGTGGTAAACGCTGTGAAACAATTTTACACAAACCCTTATCTTCAAATGGAAATGAATAAACTGCAGAGAAAGGTAAGTTATTTATCAAACATTTGGTTTCAATAATGCTCCATAAACATACTTACATTTCATTTTCTTTTAATAGTTCAAATGTTGTGGTTCTACGTCAAATCGGGATTATATAAAATCAAATATAACGATACCATTCTCCTGTTTTGTTGGTACTTTAGTTTATGTACGAGTAAGTTGTGAATTATTTATGATATGAATTTTGTATAGAGATCATCTTTGACGTTTTATTAAAACTAAATTATCATCCGAAGTGTGGTGTTTATGTTGAAAGAAAATTCATTGTAGCGTCATTATAGTCTTTCAACTGAATTTGGATGTCACTAAACCAACCTATTCAGTCGGGATGAGAAGTTTGTTGTCACCGGAACAGGTTGACATGTAGTCAGTGTTATGTGCAAACCATTAATGTTACATAATACAACCATTTCACTGAGAACATTATCTCTGATGAAAGGTTTGACTCCATGGTACTTCTCAATTTGTTTTGTTACCGTCTACTAAAGTATCGTGACTCAATTAGTTTAATTACTATGTATACTTATGAATTGTAACACATCTGTGAATTTCATAGGAGTTTCCTTCATAGGAGTTTCGTATGATATTGACTATCTTCTCAGGCACGCCATAGTGTCGAAGAAGCTTCTATAGTGTTGTCCTGTCCACGCTATCAAATGCTTTCTCGTAGTCGACGAAGTTGATGTAGAGTAATTAATTCCATCCGATTGATCGTTCCACAATGATCCGTAGTGTTTCGATTTGGTCTGAACACGATCGATCCTTACGGAATCCAGTCTGTTGATCTCGAGTTTTGGTGTCTACGGAATCCTTCATTCTGTTTAATAATACACTGTTGAAGACTTTTCCTGGTATTGAGAGGAGAGTGATGCTCCTGTAGTTATCGCACTTGCTGAGATTGCTTTTCTTTGGTGTCTTGATCAAAAGTCCTTCTATCCAGTCTGTCGGTTCTTGTTCTTCATCCCAAATCTTGCTGAAGAGGATGTGGAGTACCTTTGCAGTGGCTGCGATATCTGTTTTCAGTGCCTCTGCTGGAATGTTGTCTGGTCCTCCCACATTGCCGCTCCTGATTTGTCTGATGGCCATGCTTTGGCGACCTGTTTAAACATCTGGGCTACCTGTTCCTGTCATCTAGATATTTCAACAAGTTATCTAATTTCGTTTGTTTTAATACATCATTATGCTTATTAATCGCACAACCTATTCAGGTGCGTTTCTGAAAAGTGTAAAACCTTTCACTGTAAAGGTTACAGAAGGCCTAATAAGAGATATCGTGGTTGCTGGCAGTATGCAGCGAGAAGAATGTACACTATCCAGATGTCGATTGACTGGGCTGCCAACTTCTAACCTGCGATCACTCAATATTTATCGTCAGGAAGGACGAAGAAGTAAGAAACGAAAACTTGTTGAGGTACTTTGTGCTGAGAATTCCATATTGTACCAAAAATATAATATCGAATAAAGCTAATAATAATAATAATAATAATATTAATAATAATAATAATAATAATAATCCCTTCAATTGTTAGTGGGCCAACAACTATTAGGATGTCCGTGAGTGCTACCTTGATGATGGGTGGCTTTAGTGGAGCTGGTCTATTCGAGAGTTCTTTGAAGTGTTCTATCCACCTGTTTTTTTGTTCTTCAATGTTGGTAATCACCTTGCCTTCCTTGATTTTCACTGGTCGTTCAGTTTTACGGCAATTTCTAGCGGGTTTCTTTGCTGTGTCATATAATTGTCTCATGTTTCCTTCTCTTGCAGCCTTTTTCGCCGTCATTGTTAAATCTTCCACATATTCACGTTTGTCGGTTCTGATGCTCCTCTTCACTTGCTTGTTTACTTCTGTGTATTCAGCTTTTGCCTTGGATTTTTCTGCTCTGGTTCGGCTGATATTGATTGCTGCCTTCTTGTTTTTCCTTTCTTCAATTTTATCCAGTGTACCAACAGTGATTCATTCCTTGCGATGGTGGTTCTTTTGGCCCAGAAACTCCTGACATGTTGAAATGATTGCCTCCTTGATACCTTTCCAGTTGCTCTCCATGGTAGTTCCCTCTCCATTGAGTAGATCATGAAACTCCTGGAACTTATTGTTGAGGGCTATCTTGCATTTGTTGAGTTTGTCAGGATCCCGAAGAAAGGCCGTATTAAACTTTTGTGATGTTGTCCGCTCCATTGTCCAATGCTTCTAAAGTATGGTTTTATCTTGTCAACCAGCGAGTGATGATCTGGTTCTATATCAGCTCCTCTCCTGGTTCTCACATCCTCCATCCTCCTCCTCAACATTTTTGATGCAGATATGTTGGATTTGGTTCTGTATATTGTGATCGGGTGAAGTCCATATGGTTTTGTGAATGCGTTTATGTGGGAATATAATGCCGCCTATGACCAGTTTATTGAAGGCACATAGGTTTGCAAATATCCCACCATTTTCGTTCTATTCTCCCAGTCAGTCCATGTTGTCCCATGACGTCTTCGTATCCAGTGTTGTTCATTCCAACCTTGGCATTGAAATCTCCCATCAGAATGGTCAGGTTCTTTGTTGGGCACTTCTCGACGATCGACTGCAGCCTATCGTAGAATTAGTCTTTGACGTTTTTATCGTGGTCGTTGGTAGGCGCATATCATTGGATGATGTTCATTGCGATGCCATCTTTCTTTGTTTTGTAGGAGGCCTTGATGATCCTTGGTCCATGAGATTACCATCCTATAAGTGCACTTTGTGCTTCTTTGTACAGCATCAACGCACCTCCTTCTCGATGTTGAGCATTTTTTTCATGTCCAGAGTATTACAGAAGCTCCTCTGAAGATAGTCGTTGTTGTCGAACCTCAGTCGAATGTGTTCCACTGATCGCAAGCACCAACAGATTGTATTTCCTCACTTCTGCAGCAATTAAGAAGACTCCCATGGTCTCTCATATCGTTCGGACGTTGCATGTACCCATAAACAAATTTGCTCTGGTTGTTAGATGGGACATCGTCATCGTGACTTCCGAAGAATTTTGGCTTACATCATGAGACGTAATAATTGTTCCTTGATCTCGCAGGGCAGAGTTAAAATGGTTTCAATAATGTTTTCTGGTAAGCGTTTTTATAGTGAGTTAGTTTTCTACAGGATGGGTTCGCTAACCTCATGCCCAATCCCCCTCTTTTATCCGGGCTTGGAACCGGCAGTAGCCCTCGGGGGAGCCACAGACGGAATTAAATATCATTAACATTTCAACATTACTTTGTAATTATGTAACTCGTTACTTTCATCCTTCTTACTTCGTTTTCTTCGTTTTTATATATTATTAGGGTTGTGTGAAAGCATTCAATGATTATCTACAACAATATATAGTTGCCTTGATTGCTTTATTCTTTGTGTTTGGAATTATTAAAAGTGTTTACTTGATTATCTCCATTTATTTATTTAAAAAGTCAGTTACCATGGCAAAGGTAACGTCATAGAACCAGTCGGTATGATCAAATGAAAATGATAAGTTACAATGAAATGAAACAATTATGTCATTAACGTCACCAACCCCCAAATCCAGGAACAATCTTCATTAACATAATTGATTAAAGTAATTTCATATGACATCTAACAATCTCTACATCCTAAATACCATTAGTTGACATGTATTCTTCTCTCAATTATCCATGGTTGTTATAATTTAATTACATGGGTAATGATTATGTAATTAAAAGAACTAATGACAAAGAATAAAACAAATTGTTCTTTTTAATTAAAGTCTTTATTTCGCAATGTAAATAATTGATTTCAGAAGAGGGTTTTGTTGAGATTTTAGTAATTGTATAGTTGAAATCATCAGTCAATTAAAGCTAGATCACTGTGGAAAACCTGCAAGCACTGGACGGCCGAAGCCGACGTAGTTTCAGATAACCACCAACTTGATAGTTGCTGAAGCTAAAGAAATACTGATGAAACGAGAAACAGCAATACCAAAGCTCAATACAGCCTTCCTTCGGGATACCAACTTAATCAATGGGTTCAAAATAACTCTCAACAACAGGTTGCTATCCTTACATTTACTTACTTACTTACGCCTGTTACCCATCATGAAGGAGCATTGGCCGCACACCAGCATTCTCCATCCAACCCTGTCATGAGAATCTTTTCCACCTCCTTCAAGCCGGTATTCATCCATTGCATATCTGCTTTCATTTCCCAGCGTAATGTGTTCTTTGGCCGTCCTCTTTTCCGTTTCGCTCCCAGATTCCAAGTTGGGGCTTGCTTCGTGATGCAGTTTGGTGATTTCCTTAATGTATGTCCGATCCACTTCCAACGTCCGTACAGTAGGACTGACTGTCTTGACGTTCATATTGGAGATTCTCGCTTTGAAGTTACTTACTTACTTACCCCATGCCCAACCCTCCTCCTTTACCCGGGCTTAGGACCGGCAGTAACCCCCAGAGGAGCTACAGGCGAAGTTACTTTGAAGTTAGTTGACAGTTATTTTGAGTTCCATATTGTAGAAATACTGTCCTTGTTTTCCCAATCCTCGCCTTTACATCTGCATCAGATCTTCCATGTTCATCAGTCATGCTTCCCAGGTACGTGAATGTTTTCAAATCTTCCAGAGTTTCTCCATCAAGTGTGACTGAGTAAGTGTTCCCATTGTTGTATATGAGGATCTTGCTTTTTCCTTTGTGTATGTTGAGGCCTATTGATGCACATACTGCTGCTACATTTGTTGTCTTCCTCTGCGTTTGTTCGAGTGTGTGGGATAGGAGGGGTGGATCATCTGCGAAGTCCAAATCGTCTAATTGATTCTGATATGTCCATTGTATTCCGTGCATCCCGTCAGATGTCGAAGTCTTCGTAATCCAGTCAATCACTAGAAGGAAGAGGAATGGGGAGAGTAGACAGCCTTTTCTGACTCCGGTCCTTACTGGAAATGCATCAGTCAGTTGTCCTCTATGCACACTTTGCACTGCAATCCATCGTATGAGTTCTGGATAATGTTGACAATCTCCTCAGGATCTTCATAGTGTCGAAGAAGTTTCCATAGTGTTCTCCTGTCCACACTGTCAAACGCCTTCTCATAGTCAATGAAGTTGAAGTATAGTGATGCGTTCCACTTAACTGATTGTTCAACGATGATCCGTAGTGTCGCAACCTGGTCTGTGCACAAGCAATCCTTACGGAATCCAGCCTGTTGATCTCGAGGTTGGGCATCTACTACGTCTTTCATCCGTTTCAGCAACACTCTTGAAAACGTGTCCTGATACTGAAAACAAACTGATGCATCTGTAATTCTCACATTTGCTCAGATTTCCTTTCTTTGGTATTTTGATGGGTTATTCTCTTTTCCAGTCCGTTTGCACTTTTTCCTCTTCCCAAATCTTTTCAAATGGAAGCCTGTTTGCTTCTGCGAACTTTGCTTGCGCCTTGACTTTCTCTGCTCTTGTTGGACTGTTGTTAATTGCTGTATTCCTTTCTTCAATCTTATCAAGTGATTCCATAGAGACCCATTCCTTATGATGATGCTTCTTAGGACCCAGGACCTCTTGATACTTTAACGTTAGTGCTTTTATGATCCCTATCCAGTTATCCTCCATAGTGGTTTCTCGTTCGTTCAGTAGCTCCTGTAAAGCATGAAACCTGTTGTTGAGGGTTATCTTGAATTGGTTGAGCTTGTCAGTATCTCGAAGGAAGGCTGTATTGAATATTTGTCATGCTGTTTGTCCAGTTGGCCAGTGTTTCTTTAGCTTCAGTCTCATCTTGGTCACAACCAGGTGGTGATTTGAAGCTATGTCAGCTCCTCTCCGGGTTCTCATATCTTCCATTCTCCTTCAGAATTTTTCGTTGATACAGATATGATCTATCTGGTTCTCTGTGGTGTGGTCCGGTGAGATCCATGTAACTTTGTGTATGCGTTTGTGGGGAAATATTTTGCCGCCCACAACCAATTTGTTGAATGCACATAGATATGCAAATCTCTCACCATTTTCATTTCTCTCAGCCAGTCCATATTGTCCCATGATATCTTCATAACCCGATCGCCCATCAGGATGGTGAGGTCCTTTCTTGGGGACTTCACTATGATTAATTGCAGCATCGAGTTGAACTGATCTTTATTGTCAACGTTACTATCACTGGTTAATGCATAATACTGGATAATATTCATTGTGATCCCCTGCTTATTTGTTTTGAATGGTACTTCGATAATTCTGGATGCGTGAGATTCCCATCCTGCAAGTGCATTACGTGCTTCTCTGGACAACATTAGAGCAACTGCTTTAGTGGGTGGAGTATTTTCTTCTCCGTGACCGGAGTACAACAGCATCTCTCGTATATCAGGCCTCTGCTGTCCAGCTTGTGTCCAGTGGGTTTCACTGATTCCTTGTACAGTCAGTTTGTATCTCCTCATTTCCATTGAAATTTGACTAGTCTTCCCGGTCCCCACATTGTCTGGATGTTCCATGTACCCATAAAAGGTGTTGCTCTGGTTTCTAGAAGGGACATCTATCTCGTGACTTATAAGAATCTCGGCTTTGGTCTAGCTTCAATTGACTCACGATCTCAACTCTATAAAATATTAAGTGAGTTGGAGAATGTCACGTGGTTAAGTAGTAAACTTGAGCATCAGTTTGAAGGTAAATCATTCTATAGCATGTATCTATACAAGGCATCCGTCTCGTGACTTGCAAAGAATCTCGGCTTTCATTATGAGGCGTTATAATTCTTCCTTCAACTATGGGGGCAGAGATTAAATGGTTTAAGTTGTGTAATCTGGTTGCCGTTTTTCTAACAGGATTTTCTTCTATTGGATGTGATTTCCGAACCCGTGTCAAACCACACACTTATACCTGGTTTCGGGACCGTCAGTAACTCCAGAAGTGCTACAAGCAGAGTTAAAAAGCACTACATTACCAATAACGATCACATACGAACTTCTTGATTAGCAGTTTATTGTACAGAATGTACAAAAGAGAGTGGAAAATCAATGAACCTTGTAAAGCCAACTGACGTTAAACAGAATGTCACATGTCATGTACCTCAGTAGAACAAGTGAACTGACAGAAATATAGCTTTCAAAACTTTTGAAAAGCCTCACACTTCTATAAACTATTGTCCTAGAAACAGTATACCATTGAGTTACAAAGAATTCCTCACACACACGTCCGTCTCCAAAATTTTATCACAATCACAGTCCGACCGCCTCTTAAATGGCATGTTCCACGGAACAATTTATTATTTCCATCAATCTCGTACATCTGTAACAAGAACATTCATCTAGTGTATTATTTGTGTGTTCTCATCAATTTAGACATTTAATCCACTTTGTAAATTTATGTGTGAGCCTGATTGACCGCATGTGTCTGCATATCCATCACCAATCTATTCTCTCATTGGTTGAATGCAAAGATGATCAATAATTTACCCATAGTCCATTAACACTCATAATTATATATATGGAGTTTTAACACTCATTGACACACACACACACACTCACTCACTCACTTGATTTCCCTGTGTGCATGCTATCTGTACACTTGCGGATTCTAACCAAACTTCAACAATAAGCCATTTGCATAACTGGTGTTCAAGCTTTTGAATCATCTCGAGTAAATCTATCATTCTACTGGGAGATTTAGCCTGCATTAAATATTCGGTTAACGGGATATTATTTATTTATTGGAGTCAAATATAGAGGAGGAGAATTGATGCTCTACGTAGTTGGTGAGCCGCATTTGGAACACGCACCATTTCTCTACAAGTCTGCTGCATATTCACCAATCATATTATAAGCAACTTCACATTGGAATTACTGTTACAATTGTTAACAATTCACATATTTGATTGCAAAGTGACAGCTTGTTTCTGTCGGTGAGTCTCTCATATATGTTCCTTGTTGTTATTGGTTATTTCTTCATATTGTATGTTTCAATCCACAGCTTAATATTATTGCTACTGTCATTATTTCTTTGTAACATGTTATCTGATGATTCATCAAGCCTTCCATCGAATTCTTTTTCCATGGGTGCCATCTCTGTACCTCTACTTGCTTTAAAACTTCGAGAGGCAGAACTCTGATTTGCACACTTAGAAAGCGTTTATGTCGCAAATAGAATCACAAGTGAAAGCACGAGATTTAGTTACGTAAATTCGTTGCTGCCAGATGACGTTATTGAGCAAGTGCCTGACGTCATTTTTAAACCGTATCCTGACTCACTCTATGATTGTCTAGAAAGGGAAGTCATACATAGCTAACGAAACCAATCCTCAATTGATATTGGTCAATTGCTCTTATTTTCTAACAAACACTTTTCACACTACTGACAACAAATACAAAGCATATGTATGATTTATAAATTTCTACTCGTTCACATTCTCATAATGATCAACAGAGAGATGAGATGAATTTCCATACTGAACTACAACATGATTGACTATTCATTTTGCTTCAAACCGATCACTGATTTATATTTTATTAACATGTAGATCATTAATTTTTTTTATATCACGCTGACATTCTGGCTGCAAAAATACTGAGATCAAACACGCATTCCTACAGAATGTCCTAAAAACATGAAACATCATTGATATTCTGTTCACTCAAAACTTCATTCTATTCGTTGCAAATTTATCCTGTTTAAAATAAGCTCGACTTATAAACACCTTTCCATGTACCTAAATTAATGGTTGCTATAAATGTCAGAAGGGGCCTCAGCCTCGTGACGTTCGAAAGAACTCGGCTTTCATCATTAGGATTCCAAACTCTTTTAAGTGAAGAACTTCTAACTCACAGGGCACAGTTTAGGTGGTTTGAATTATTTTTTCTGGTTGGCGTTCTTTAGCGAGCTTGTTCTCTGTGAGATAGGTTAGCTAACCCCATGCCCAATCCTCCCCCATTATTTGAGCTTCGGACCAGCAGTAGCCACAAAAGGGATTCCAGGAAGGTCTAAACGCATTAATGATAATAAAGAAAGATATGAGTAGAAATCAGTCAATAAGGAGTTAACGGAAGGTGAAAATGACGTAATCAAAACTTCAGGAAGAGTTGAAATAATGAATGACGCAATAAAAAGAATGTGATGTCACAAGGGAAAGGAAAGATGTTTTACTGTTTTTTTGAACACATACATCAGGCTTTGGGTATTTGACCTCCATAGGTTCGGCGAATTTCAAAAAACAATTCGCCAAAATTATAGTGGAAACTTGGAGAACGACGAAAGCCATCATCCAGAAGATACAAGTGTCTATTAACAGTTGTCTACGCAAAATACTTCGGATCCGTTGGCCAGACATTATCGGCAACAAGTTGCTGTGGGAGAAAACAAACCAGATTTCAGTGGAGGAAAAAATCAGGAAGAAGTGCTGGAAGTGGATAGGACACAGATTGAGGAAATAGCCTAACTGCGTCACATGGCATGCCCTCACATGTAATCGTCGATGCCAAAGGAGAAGAGGAAGAACAAAGAACACATGACGTCGAGAAATGGAGAAAGATATGAGAAGAATGAACAAAAATGGAATATAACTAGAAAGGAGGGAGGAGGACAGAGTTGGTTCGAGAAGGCTGGTCGGTAGCCTATACTGTATTGGGGGTAACAGGTGTAAGTAAATAAAGTAACAAAATAATCATGTTTCGGATATATTTCTGTAGTAGCAAAATTTATGAGTGAATCAATTTCATCGTTCAAATGTTATGGTTCAGATTTGTGGTATATCTGTTGGTTGCTGCACCAATCATCAGTTTCGACAAATCTACGCATTTCAAATTTACTAATAACATGAAATGACTTAGTGAAATCTTTTCTGAATGAATTTATACCGTGAGATCGCTTTCTCGTTCCCTTTCACGCTTATATGTATGAAGCCGGTGCGTGTGCGCACCCATCAGACTGATTGAGTTCCTCTGAGATTCATGTCCAAGTAGAAATGATTTAACAGAATGTTTATTCACTTCCTTCGACAGAATGAATGTTTTGTACAAACAATGAATCATATCACAGTAGCTACTTTACATCAAGAATTCATGTCTTATTCTTCTTTATGCTACATTCGGTTCTGATAGAAGATTTGTACCTCATATCTGAATTTTCACCTGGTTGTTGAACATCGAATTTCCTAAACGTTGATAAATTAATTCAACGTCCATTTGTTGATTGATCTCTTTTAGGCTTCTCACAACCCTCCAATGTTCCCAGTATTCGTTTTCTCAAGGTTCCTACATTTTACCAGTCGACAGTGTGTGAACATGTATGGAATGAGCGAATATACATCATGATCATTGACAGCATATTGATGTTCTCGAAAACGAAAATGAGGAGAAAGGTTTCCTTGTCTGACCTAGTATTTGTCGTAGTTGATGCAATCTGTTTTGTATATGAAGTGACAACTATCATGAAATGTCGTGACATTTTTTCGTTTGGATAAGGCTGATCGAGGCGTATGTTTTGGTGTGCGCTCTGTGATTATTCCAATGACTGTAACAACCTAATCACTCCAGATATGCTTTATATCGGTAGTAGGGTGATATATTTGATTTTGGACCTTAATTAATTTCTGACGATTTGTTTTGTGGATATCACTTGAAAGAATTGGATGAAAGGATGTTCGTGCGACAAACAATCACCAAGTATTTTCCTACGTTGTAGGTGTTTTCGATATTTTGAATAAAAATTAGACTCGAATAACTTTGCAGCTTGTTATTGGGTGGTTTTTATTGAGGTTGAAAACACTCCGAAACACAAACTGCTCATCATGTGTGAAGACATACGAACAGTTTACTTCTATTTGAAGTCTGTGCTCATGATATTGTGGAATAGGACAGAGAAAGGTTCACAAATAAACCACTTGGGTGATTGAACCAAACTCCACATACATTTCAACCAGTCACACGTCTTGAAGTTAACCGAACATAGATTTTCTCACTATGAAATCGATAAATATTCTTCAGTCACTTATCACTTTTGCACCACTTTGATAATCCAAACCATGATAACTGTTCATGAGAATACTGCAAACACTTCTGCAACTTACTTGCATACTACTGAATTCAAAGCTGATAATATAATTTCAGTCAGATTACATTTTGGTATTTCATTTCACCAATTGTTCACTATCTGATTTGTTGATGCTATATTAACTACTGACAAGATTGTATACACTGATTCATCTCATTGTATCATACATAATGAGAGAAATATGCGTACTTAATACAAGCAAACTTGTCTCACATTGTTTGATATGACAAATGTATCTGACTGACATATACACCAACACAACAACAACAACAACAACAACAACAACAACACAATTATTGCACATGTGTAAAATTGAATATTCTCAATTCATCTGACTCCAAAAATATTTTACCATGATTTGACAACTTACAATTTCAGAACAATTGAGTCGAATGTGTATGAGTTACTATTGAGCAAACAGTGCAACACAGACAGTTTATAATTGGGATTCAATGTGCATTGCATTAGAATCAATTTGCTTATTTTGCAAACAACAGGATATAGAAAAGTTGAATCTCAATTCTGTTTATTGCAGCCATCACTTTCGTAAATCGTATTCGAAATCATATTGTCGATGAATATGAATTTGTCAATATCACAACAATTTTGGAATAAATTGTTCATTCTGTTGAACAGTTGTTTCGTCGTAAGTCAATCTACTTTGTTCAAGTCTCCCATTCAAGATATTTGGCATTGTTCTTCTTGTGTTAGGCATCAAAGCACTTGAAACAGTGAACGAATTCGCCAAAATTTTGAGTGGGATAACACCAGTTATCATTCCAACAGCAATCTTCATAGGATGCCTCATTCTAGTAGGTACAATTATTGGATACATTGGATTTTGGAAACCGAAACAGTTCATTATCATACTGGTAAATATTGAATCATTTGTCTTTTCTATCAACCAACATGATATTCTTCTGTTCTCTTTACTTGTGTATAGCACATTGCATGTTTATGTCTTGCAGTGATAGTAGAGATTTCCATAGCCACAATGACGGTTACATCTGGAGAAAAAGTTGGTTGAATGTATAATATGAGCATGTTGAAATTATTTGTGTTTTTGTGTTGAACAGTTTCAAACAGCCGCTAATCATTCAGTGGTAAACGCTGTGAAACAATTTTACACAAACCCTTATGTTCAAGTAGAAATGGATAATCTACAAAAGAATGTGAGTTATTCATCAAGTATTTGGTTTCAATAATGCTCCATAAACATACTTACATTTCATTTTCTTTTAATAGATCAAATGTTGTGGAGGTACTTCATATATGGATTATGTAAAATCAAATAGAACGATACCATTCTCCTGTATTATTGGTACTTTAATTTATGCACGAGTAAGTTGTGAATTATTTATTATATGAATTTTGTATAGAGATCATCTTTGACGTTTTATTAAAACTGATTTTGAAAGAAAATTCATTGTAGCGTCATTATAGTCTTTCAACTGAATTTGGATGTCACTAAACCAACCTATTCAGTCGGGATGAGAAGTTTGTTGTCACCGGAACAGGTTGACATGTAGTCAGTGTTATGTGCAAACCATTAATGTTACATAATACAACCATTTCACTGAGAACATTATCTCTGATGAAAGGTTTGACTCCATGGTACTTCTCAATTTGTTTTGTTACCGTCTACTAAAGTATCGTGACTCAATTAGTTTAATTACTATGTATACTTATGAATTGTAACACATCTGTGAATTTCAGTATAAAGATATAATGAATAAAGAATATTATCTCTTAACTTGTGTATTCAGATGAACGGGTTGACTCCATGGTACTTCTCATTTTGTATTTTGTTCCATCCAGTTTTCCTTGGTCACTTACATACAGTTCTCAATATTGAGTTAAGCTAATTACATTATGTATATTAGTCAGCTCTACGTGATTGATTGGTGTGGAAAATTTTAATTTTACTCAATGGTCATTCGATTATGTTATGTCACCCAGAAGAACTTAAAGGATTTTGTTGTTGTTCCAGTATTCATTGCACTAATTTATCGATTAATGTCAAATATAATTTTCAAAGTTTTGATACCGTCGACTAAAGTATAGTGACTCAATTGGTTTAATTACTATGAATACTTATGTATCGTAGTACATTTGTGAGTTTTAGTATAAAGATGTAATGAATAGTGAAAATATATTCCTTGATGGGTTTAAGATCATTTCAATTACATAAACCAAGTCACAATGCATTCTAGAGTTAGTTAGTCAATAATATTCATTACCATGAAGAGATAATCAGATTATTTATACTGAGAAATCCTATAGAAAGATTTACCTTCATACTGATGATAAAGTTCACTATTTTACCTCGTAACATTCTCCAACTCATTTAATATTTGTGTATGTGTACCTCATTTATGGTCATTGTTATATAACAGTTATCACCTTATAAAACTTTCAGATCTAATGTTAATAAGATTGTTGAAGACAGTTGTCCTCTCGAATTATCCTGATTTTTTATATAATTGATAGGAGTTTCTAATTTGTCAAGTTCAAATAAGCGCCGCCTATGGTCACTTTATTGAAGGTTTGCAAATCTACCACCATTTTCGTTCTTTTCTCCCAGTCCATGTCGTCCCATGACGTCTTCGTATCCATTGTTGTTCATTCCAATCTTAGCATTGAAATTTCTCATCAGAATGGTTGGGTCCTTTGTTGGGAACTTCTCGACGATCGACTGCAGCCTATCGTAGAATTGTAATGACCTCTTTCTTTGTTTTGAAGGAGGCTTTGATGATCCTTGGTCCATGAGATCACCATCCTACAAGTGCACCTTGTACTTGTTTGGACAGCATCAATGCAACTCCTTGTGTATGTGGGGCATTTACTTATTCATGGCCCGAGTATAACAGAAGCTCTCCGGAAGGTAGTCGTGACTTCCGAAGAATTTCGGCTTACATCATGAGACGTAATAATTGTTCATTGATCTCGCAGGGCAGAGTTAAAATGGTTTCAATAATGTTTTCTGGTAAGCGTTTTTATAGTGAGTTAGTTTTCTACAGGATGGGGTCGCTAACCACATGCCCAACCCTCCTCCTTTATCCGGGCTTTGAACCGGCAGTAGCACACGGGGGAGCCACAGACGGAATTAAATATCATTAACATTTCAATATTACTTTGTAATTATGTAACTCGTTACTTTCATCCTTCTTACTTCGTTTTCTTCGTTTTTATATATTATTAGGGTTGTGTGGAAGCATTCAATGATTATCTACAACAATATATAGTTGCCTTGATTGCTTTATTCTTTGTGTTTGGAATTATCAAAAGTGTTTACTTGATTATCTCCATTTATTTATTTAAAAAGTCAGTTACCATGGGAAAGGTAACGTCATAGAACCAGTCGGTATGATCAAATGAAAATGATAAGTTACAATGCAATTAAACGATCATGTCATTAACGTCACCAACTACCAAATCCTGGAACAATCTTCATTAACATAAATTTGGATTATAATTGATTAAAGTAATTTCATATGACATCTAACAATCTCTACATCATAAATACTATTAGTTGACATGTATTCTTCTCTCAATTATCCATGGTTGTTATAATTTAACTGGTTGGGTAAAGATTGTGTAATGAATAGAACTAATGTCAAAAAATGTTCTTTTTGAATAAAACTTTCTCTTTTTATTTCACAATGCGAATAACTATTTTCAGAAGGGGGTTTTGTTGAGATTTCAGTAATTTTATACTTGAAGTCATCAGTCAGTTGAAGCCAGACCGCCGTGGAAAACCTGGAAGCACAGGATAGCCGTTTAGTCCTATTATGGGACTCCTCAGCAGTTTGTATCCACGATCCTGCCTCGCGAGATTCGAACAAAGGACTTATCAGTCTTGTGAGGAAGCGCTGAATCTGTAGACCACTGAGCCGGCATCCAACAGTGTTGATGTCTAACTCCAACTGATCCACGAAATTGAGCGACACATCCGCCATTGTCTCGAATCTGTTACTATCTCACAAGAGACCCGATTGAACTACACTGGTCACTGCTCAGCGATGAAGAGGGAGATTTTGTGGTATATTAATCATAAGTAGCCAAGTGATATTCATTATAAATAAAATCAAATGTATCGTTTACTTATCTCGTCATTGATCAAATTTGAAATTAGTTATCGATAATCTCGTTAAGTTTTTGAGGGCGAGACCGAAGGTCTTGGGTTTAGAATCTGCGAGCAGGGCCGTGGATGCGCACTGCTGAAAGGTTCCATGCTATCCATGCAGTGATTCTAGGTTTTCCATGGTGGTCTAGCTTTAGTTGACTCATCAATTAAACTAATAAATCTCGTTCTTATTGCTTCTCATCAATGTAATTTCTGTGTTTTTGTAAAAAGTCTATAATTCCCCTTGTTCTTCTACCCTAACCCTAATCTTAACACATACCATTCTATACCTTTACCAGATACGAATACTTTGATTTTCGTTTTTGAAAAATATACTGTGGTTCTTATTTTTTAACATAAATTATTAATCTGAATATTTTTTATTGTAATAATCTTCAAATTATGTTTGCAAAATGAATCCATAGTTGTACACAGCATTAACGATTCCTAATGGAAAACTCTTATCATCTTTGACTACATGATGATAATGATGTGTTGGTCAACTTTAGTGATAACAGGCGAAATTCAACACACATATTGTACATAAAGGATTTGATGCATGTGATAATCATGATTGTATCCTGTAAGGACGGCTCATTGGTAAACTCTTGGAAGTCTTACGAAGCCCAGAAAGAGCCGGACATATTCCATCCAATCACTGCTAGGGGAATATTCTAGAATGTCGACGTGTAGCCTCCCCATTGGATGGATAAGAATGACCCCCTATGTACCCATTGGTTGACCGAAATGATGATTTACATTCAGCCAATAACTATAAATACATGAGATTTCTGTACTATATTTTGACACTGATTCGGGGAATAAAGTTCCTACTTACTAGTCTTCTCTTTTGCGACGTTGCGGGTTCTATCGTTCAAGTAGTGTAGTAGTACGCGGCATAGAAAGAACCAAGGCTCTAGATATAACATATCCGATTAGGTATTCGAGCACAAATATGCAATTCGATCTCTAATGACAGTGTGCTACATCCGTCACTGTATTAATGTTGAAAATTAGATAGTTGAAACATTTAAATATATGGATTGTGTATAATTTGTGTAAATTGTATTCCACCTTAAACCTATCCTGGTCACAGTAGTTGTGTTATCCGACATGGTGCATTTTACATGGTTTTCTTGATTATCCTTATTTACTCTTACAATCTATGTGTCTAGTCGACCCCAACCCATTACTATACATATATATTCTTAACAAGTATATTATGTGTGATCAGATTGTTCAAAATGTATTACATCCATATATCAACATAGTTTTAATAATCATATTATTATTATTACATTAGCCAAATTTATCAAATAGACTAAATACTCATGAATGTTGTCACAGATTGAACTCTCTTTTACTGCCGTTGATTGAATTTCCTTGTAGATTATTAATTTTGAAAATACTGATATTATCTATCAGACTAATCAATATTGTTATATCTTGTGCGTGAGGGCCCTGTTAATATATGACGTGATGATTCCCGCCAATCAGAGAGGAGTGATTTATTGATCGGATCAATTATCCACGAAAACACGTTCGAGCAGTCTACAGCACTAGTCGGTCTTGCTATCTGCCTAGCCCAATCAGTTAAGTCCAGAACACCAATAAAAGCCTCTGTAATATGAATGATTATATTTCAAACATACTGAGTTGGTATACCAAATAAACTGACCACATTGTACCATAAAATGGGAAATAACATTGATACAGGACTCAGCCAAATGTGGCTGTAAATAGGGGGAACAGTAATTAATAGACTGGGTATAACTCAAGAATAGTAAATCGTACAGTAATAGTCTATGGGTCAAAATAAACCTCAGAATAAAAAGAAAATGAATATGAATAGTTAAGTTACTTAGCAATGATTAAATAGGAAATATACTTATCATATTGATTCATAAACAGTCCTGAAAAGTTACATTCATAATACTCTTCGGGATATTACACCTCCTATTTTTTGAGAGATCCGGAGCTGATATACGGATTTTAAATTTACCGACTTTATCCTCTCCCACAAAATAGCGTTGGATCCTCATATTACCAAGCTACATCTAAAATGACATTATTTAAAACATATTCGTCGCATTCAACAGAGAATCCACTAGACCTGACTAGATCGTGAGGATCGACGACAGTTGATTTGATATCACCAGTGTCTGATTCTTCTGAAGCAGTTTCTTTGCATTTATTGGGAACCTCATTAGTAGATAATGAATCATTGGGATAATCAGTATCTGTGAAAACTGTGTTGGATTCTTGATTATTATTTGATGAATCTGACATTTCTCTCTCATTTTTATAAGAATTTTCATAAGGAACATTTGAGTCATTAAAATGGTCGATATCTGGTAAAACAATTAGCGTGTCCCGAACATTAGATTCACTAGAAACTTTTGTTGCATCATGATTAGTTTCATTTGGTGCGAGTACATCCAATATATTGCCTGATTTGCTTTCTGTCTCTACGTGGACGTGTACTGCAGCAATTACATGAGTATTTACCAAGACATCGTCTTTCTGTGAACTGGGCAATTCACTGATTGCACGTTCTGTTTATATAGGATTATAGGATTTGAACTAACTGTAGAGCATGTCACTGAATTAGACAGTACTGGACTACTGGGATGATCATGTGTGACTATTACGGCTTCGTTTAAATTACTGTTTATCACGGATTCATGGAGGCTTTCACCGGCACATTCATTCATTCTGCAATCAGTTTCCAGCTGTGTACGCAATTTCGAAATTAGTTCGTTAACTTCCGTCACACCCCCAAAGCATGGGCGATTCAGTAGCCTTGTGTGTAATTTGTCAATAAATTCCAAATGAATCTTTTTGAAACGCTGCTCTTGTCACTGGAATAGCAATCGTAATTGATCAGAAGTTAGAGCCATTTGCTGCTTCTGTGTAAATCAGCACGCTAATGAAAGATACTGTATGACTAATGACCAATATTGTCCAAAGACAAACGATAGTTCTGGATGCTGATTGTACGAAATAACCATTCGATTTTCGACCAATCACAGGCTGACTTTGGTTCCTTTTCTACCCCGTTGCCAATTGCTATAACTTGTTTGCCTGCGTGCCCAGTTAATATATGACGTGATAACTCTTGCTATTTAGAGAAATCAGTGAATTGGCGATCGGATCAGTGACACACACTCAGTCTAGAGTACTTATCAGTCCTGCTTTCTGTCTAGCCCAGCCAGTTAAGTCAAGAACACCAATAACAGCCTTTGCAATATGAGTTGATATACCAATCAAACAGACCATACCGTACCAATAAAATAGGAAATAATGGGAATAATGGGAACAGTAATTAATAGACTGGGTATAACTCAAGAATAGTAAATCGTATAGTAATAATCTATGGGTCAAAATAAAGCTTATAATAAAAGGAACATGAGTATGAATAGTTGAGTTACTTAAGACTTAGACAATAGGAAATATACATATCCCATGGGTCCATAAATAGTTCTCAAAAGTTACCATTCATAATTCTCTTCGGGATATAACGGTTACGAATAGGGTCAGCAAACCCATCCTGCAGAAAGCAATATTGCTATGAAAAAAATGATAACCAGACTAAACAAATTCAGTCGTTTAAACTCTGTCCTCCGATTTGAATGAAGAATGATGACGCCTCATGGTGAGTGTCAAGATTCTTCCGAATTCACGAGACTGTGAGAAGCAATGACAGGATGGGAATCTCATGGATATAGGATCATCAAAACAAAGAATGAGGGAATCACAATGGGTGTTATCCAGTGCTATACATCCACCAATAAAAGTGAAAAAGACGATAGAGGTTAGTTTTACGAGATGGTATGTTCAATCGTAGTGAAATGTCAAAGAAATGATCTGACCATCGTGATGACCAACCGAAATATCGAAGCTGGAGTGGACAACACTGTGAATCAAGATAAAATGTGACGACGTTGACTGGCAGTAATAGTAACAACAAATGCAGGAGAAAACGACCAGTGTAGCAGCAGCCTCAGCAACAGTATGTCTCAATATAAACAAAGGGAAAAGCAAGACTCTCCGATACAATACAATATGCACCAATCAAATTACACTTGAAGGAGAAGCTTTGGAGAATGTGGAAACCTTTACATATCTGGGCAGCATCATTGATGAACACGGTAGATCAGATGCAGATGTGAGGGCGCGAATAGGCAAAGCAAGAGCAGCATATCTACAACTGAGGAACATCTGGAGCTCAAAACAATTGTCAACCAACACCAAGGTTAGAATTTTCAATACAATTGTCAAGACAGTTCTACTGTATGGAGCAGAGACATGGAGAACTACGAAAGCCATTATCCAGAAGATACAAGTGTTTATTAACAGTTGTCTACGCAAGATAGTTCGGATCCGATGGCCAGACACTATCAGCAACAAGTTACTGTGGGAGGCAACAAACGATATTCCATCCAGCCGAGGAAGAAATCAGGAAAAAGCGATGGAAGTGGATTGAGCACACATTGAGGAAATCAGTCAACTGCGTCACAAGACAAGCCCTCACATGGAATCCTGAAGGTCGAAGGAGAAGAGGAAGACCAAAGAACACATTACGCCGAGAAGTAGAGACAGACATGAGAAGAATGAACAAAAACTGGATAGAACTGGAAAAGAAAGCCCAGGACAGATTGGGTTGGAGAATGCTGGTCGGCGGCCTATGCTCCATTGGGAGTAACAGGCGAAAGTAAGCAAGTAAGTATGATTTCCATTGCTTGACATTTAAATAAAACATTGGAAAACTCAAGTACAAAAATTCATTATTTGTTATCAGTCAGTCAGACGGTCACAACGTAGAACTTCTTACGTACGTACATCAGTTCGAGTTGCCATACCACATTAGCACGGACATGCAGTTGTCGATTGAAATCCCATAGTGGTAGAAGTAGTAAGAGCATAATCAGAAATCCGAAAGATGAGGGGTTGAAAATATTGTTCAAGGAGTATAATAGATTGAAATAAATTTGAAAAGAGAAAAAACGATTTTCAGCCATGTCATTCAAGGTCTTTAACCATCGATTACTATCATCTCGTGAATCCCAACCAGGTAGTCTACACCTACCAACATGGCCCAGTTCACTTGTCAGCGACTTCATGGATTTATACCACGTTTTGGTCCGACCGCCCGTAGCTTTCTTCCAACTTACTCCTACACCATAAAGCATTGCACGTCGGGGCAGTCGGTGGTTGGGCATACATAACACGTGTCCCAGCCATCTCAAGTGATGAAGTTTTACTACACCATCAATCGATTTGCCATCCTTACCTAGTACCTGTTTCCTAACAACTGCATTACTTACTCGGTGGTCCCAGGGTACACGAACAACGCTTCGAAGACACCTATGATCGAATACTAGTAGCTTATATATATCCTCTACTCTTACCGGCCATGTTTCACTGCCATGAAGTTGGACGGAACGAACTGTTGCACAGTCGACTTATTTGTTATCAATTACAATTCTATTATGTTTAAAACAATTGATTTCCATTTCATACTCTAACTACACATCTATGCATGTATCATTACATTACTATTGAAAAAAGTATCAAATTTCAATGTGTGTGTGTTTATGTAACGTTTTTTTCATTCCTGTTTAAGTTCTTTACAATCAATCATCATTAATATTGATTTCAAAGTAATAACACGTATAAATGTTATATAAAAGGTGTAAACCATTACTTCTTTCTTCTACAAGAAATAACAATTGTACATGGTAAGATGAAAGCATATACTTCATGTTAATGATGATGATGATGATGATGATGATGATGATGATGATGATGATGATGATGATGATGATGATGATGATGATGATGATGATGATGATGATGATGATGATGATGATGATGATGATGATGATGATGATGATGATGATGATGATGATGATGATGATGATGATGATGATGATGATGATGATGATGATGATGATGATGATGATGATGATGATGATGATGATGATGATGATGATGATGATGATGATGATGATGATGATGATGATGATGATGATGATGATGATGATGATGATGATGATGATGATGATGATGATGATGATGATGATGATGATGATGATGATGATGATGATGATGATGATGATGATGATGATGATGATGATGATGATGATGATGATGATGATGATGATGATGATGATGATGATGATGATGATGATGATGATGATGATGATGATGATGATGATGATGATGATGATGATGATGATGATGATGATGATGATGATGATGATGATGATGATGATGATGATGATGATGATGATGATGATGATGATGATGATGATGATGATGATGATGATGATGATGATGATGATGATGATGATGATGATGATGATGATGATGATGATGATGATGATGATGATGATGATGATGATGATGATGATGATGATGATGATGATGATGATCAAGAACCCTACTTCTTTCATGCTTTAATAAGTTATTATATTTTTCCTTGAATAATATATTACTCATTTTAATCTTAACATATCAATCCAATAATTCATTTGATTGACATATGGATTCGATGTAAATTCTTCATGATCAGAATCATGTTTCTTCTTTTCAATTTTTTTTGTTGTAAATCATCAATTAATCAATCAAACATTCCATTGAAAACGTCATTGATAAAAATACCCCTGTGATAAAAGAAAATTTTTTTTGGGTTTGTTTTTTTTCAGTATTACACAAATGATGTGTATTTCATTATCCAAAGAATTTTGGCAAAAAATATTCATTACCTTGAATAGTTTATTCATTGTAAGTAGTATAATTCAATTTTTTATTATTTTTTTTAAAAAAAGATATTTAATATTATACTACTCATATTAGGTATCATCACACATGATACATTATTAAAATATACTACTATTTTACAAGCTCCAGTACCAGTACTTATTCCAATGATTATCTTTACTGGATGTTATGGTTGTATAGCTTCATTCATTGGATATATTGGATTATGGAAACCAATGAATTTAATTGCATTATTGGTAGGTGATCATTTTGGGGTATTTAATCCCCTAATTTTAGCATATCAGTAGTATGTGTATTGTGACACTTATTGAAATTGCTATAGCAACAACATCAGCTGTTATGTATGATCAAGTGAGTTACCATTATCATTCAATACCATTTATATTATCATATATTTATTTATTTAAACACATACATATTGGTACAAAGGTCACCAGATACATATGCGCCACACAAAATAATGAGAATGGGCGGAAAAAGGAGAAAGATGCGTATATAAAAAGGAAGAGAAAAAAGGGTGAGAAAAAGAGAAGAGTAGTGATGGGAGGAACTAAAATGTACAACCAGAAGAACTCTCTTAGTTAAGAAAGTTAGAACCACTCTTTATGTAGAAAGTAAAAGAATGTTGCAGCAGGATCGCCACTGGCTTCTATTCTGAGCCATATCTGATAACGTCTCTAGCCACTGTGTTGCACCATCTCTCGGACCCCAGCCAGGGAGTCGTGAAGGAGCAACAGAAGCTAACCCTTTGCAGCTTTCTTTCATACCACTACATCATGTCATACACTGACCACCTCTCCACTTTTTTCAACCAGTCCCAGAGTCGGTAAATAATGCACGACGTGGAAGTCTCTGGGACGACATTCATAGAATATGTTCAAGCCACCGAAGTCGATGTTTCAATAGGATTATCGTCTCTGCGCCCAAACACACGATGCCGAACCTCTGCATTACTAACATGGTGTTGCCACTGGATATCAGCAATCCTTCGGAAATAACGATGATCGAACTCAGAGAGTCATTTAACATCCTCAACTCGGAGAGGCCAGGTTTCACAAGCATAGAGCAAAACTGCTCTCACCGACGCGTTGTAGATCCGACATTTTACAGCCAGACTAACATCACGAAGGCGCCAAAGATGGCTCAGATTGGCATAAGCCGTTCTGGATTTCATTATATTTCATTATATTATCATATAAGAATACTAAATGGTTGTTTCTTTTTGGTTTTTTTCCCTTCATTTCTTATAGTTCTATGCAACGACTCATAATGCTTTATTAGATGCTGTGAAATGGTTTTATAAAAAACCTCAATACGAAATAGAAATGAATAGTTTACAAAATGAAGTAATATCATTTTTAATTATCAGAAGGGGTTTTTATGGAGATTTAGTATTATCATAGTTGAAAGCGTGAGTCAATAGAAAACAAAACGTCTTCTGATAATTAATAGAATCATATGGTCACTAGTGACTGAATTCGAGAAGTACATCTAGGAGTTCTAGTGAGAAGCAGTGATCAGTGAAGTTCAAACCACGTCTGTCGTGAGATAGAAACTCACTGAAAACAATTGGTGGACGGTTGTTCAACTTCGTGGATCAGTTGAAGTTAGACATTAACACCATCGGTTGCCGGCTAAGTGGTCTATCGGCTAAGGGCTCTGGCTGGAAACCGGTAGGTCCTGGGTTCGAACCTCGCGAGTGTGGGATCATGAGTGCGAGATGCTGAGGACGAAACGGACGTCCAGTGCCTTTAGGTTTCCATGGTGGTCTAGCCTCCATTGACTCACGCTTTCAACTATGAAAATATCATTTTTAACAATAATATCAATCCCTTTCGATACATTCCAGTAATGTAATCAGAAGACAAAGGTTATCAGACATTAAAATAGGAAGAATATATATTTTAGCGAAGTGAATTTGAAGTAAAATCCAACGTTTCGTCTAGCAATCTGATCCAAGCTTTTTCAAGGAATCTATAATCAAACATCAAAATTATCGAATATAAACTATGATAAACGATTTACTTAGTATTGTTTATTTGAATCTTCTCATTGATGTTTAGGACTGCACTTGGTCAGTCTCTAATTGGCATATGTGCATACTGTGCGTATTGCCTCAATATAGCCTAAATTCACAAGCATTGTAAGCAAAGATAGATAGTGACTAGCAGTGGAATCTAGGAAGCGCGTTTCATGCTATTTTGGACTCGTCAGGACGAGACTTGCGTCCTGGATTCCACTGCTAGCCACTATCCAACTTTACTTATTATAATAAACGATGTAAATTCAGAATCCATGTTACATTCAACTTGTAATTTATCAGATAGATACATCTACATCTCAACGTTGATGTTTATGATTAAAACTCGATAAAACAATATTTTTCACCTTGAATTCCAGCGAGTTATCCTTTAAACAGATGATTCTAGATAAACACTAAATTGTTTATATAAGAACTTTTGTCTAAATTAAAGCGCATTGTATCACAGTATTTGGGCGCCATGTTGATGTAAGACGACATTCAATAAGAAGAATATATATTTGTAAAAATCTTAGCGAAGTGAATTTGAAGTAAAAATTCAACGTTTCATCTGACAATCTGATCCAAGCATCTTAAAGGAATCTATAATCCAGGTTATCACAATCAAGGTTATCATAACATTGGTCTTCTTATTGAATTATTGAAATACCTTTTTCTTCGTATATTTACAATAATTCGGATCATATTTCCTTTTCTTTATTTTGGTTTTGATAGTTTAAATGTTGTGGAGCTGAATCTTATTTTGATTATAGAAAAAATGGTATGAATATACCATTCTCTTGTATGGTTGGTTATTTAGTTTATGCAAGAGTAAGTTATTATTTATTACCGTTGGATCCCATCTCAGTGGTCTATCGGTTAAGGGCTTCGGTTCGAGACTGGTAGGTCCTGGGTTCGAATCTCGCGAGAGCGGGTTCGTGGGTGCGCACTGCTGAGGAGTCTCATAATAGGACAAAACGGCTGTTCAGTGTTTCCAGGTTTTCGATGGTGGTCTAGCTTCAATTGACTCATGATTTCAACTTTGAAAAATTAAGTTGTTATTGATTATTTCTTAATTAGTTAAATTGAAGATACATTATCAGAATGGGATTTTTGTGGAGATTTTAGTAGTTTTATATAGTTGATATCATGAGTTAAGTGAAGCTAGATCACTGTGGAAAACATTGAAGCACTGGACGACCTTTTCATCCAAGTGTGGGCCTCCTCATCATTGAGCATCCACGTTCCCGCCTCATGAGATTCAAACCCACAAACTATAGGTCTCGCGTGCGAAACTCTGAACCTATAGATCACTGAGCCGGCATTCAATGTTGTTAATGTCTAACTTCGACCAATTCATGAAATGGAGCGATACATCCATCATTGTCTTCAGTGAGTTGATATCTTCCAACAGACCTAATTGAACTCCACTGGTTACTGCTTCTCACTAGAATTCCAGGAAATACTTCATGGAGCCATTCACTAGTGAGCATATGATCATTGTCAGAAGGGGTGTTTTGTGAAGATTTTAGTAATTTTATATAGTTGAAATCATGAGTTAATTGAAGCTAGATCACTGTGTAAAACCTGGAAGCACTGGAGGGCTGTTTCGTTCTATTGTGGGACTCACTATTGACTTGTTTTGAAGAGATATTTCCTGCAGCTCTAGTGGGGAGTGAACGATGAGATAGTAACTCATTGAAGACAATGGTAAATGTGTCGCTCAATTTCGTAAATTAGTTGAAGTTAGACATTACAACTGTTGGATGTCGGCTCAGTGGTCTACAGGTTAAGCGATCGCGCACGAGACTGATAGGTCCTGGATTCGAATCTTGCGAGGCAGGATCGTGGAGTCCCACAATAGGACGAAACAACCGTTCAGTGCTTCCACGTTTTCCACAGTGATCTAGTTTCACTTGACTCATGAATTCAACTTTAGAATATAATGAAACAAGCTTCATGCTATGAAGCCATTAGAAAACCTGGCAGGCAGTTCAATTTGAAAATATAAAATATCCACTTTCAGACATTTGACGGCTACATTTTCAGCAAATTTAAAAGCATCATAGACTTGAGTGATTTCACGATATCTACTTGATTACTTGACTTTTTTTCGTTTGGATATTTAAATATACTGATGAATGAGAGGTCACCTTGTGTGATATGTTCATGAAAGCTAAGATGAAGGAATTCCTTCTGTTCATCCAGTCTAATCTTTTCGGTTGATACTCATATGATAATTAATGCAATTAGCGGTAAAACATGAATGTTTGGCTAAATTGATAATCATGCTTTATGCAAAATGATCAAATTAAATGTAAGCTAGATCTCTATCTTATTATGACTGAAGAAATCGTTATTTAGAGAATTTTCAAAGTTATGTACAATCGTTTAACATACTGTAGTATAAACTGTAATATTATTATTCGTAGCTCAATCATTTTGATGGGAGTTTAGTTCTCTGAGCTGGTCGGAGAGCTTTCATTGTCCTTCTGAACGAAATCATCAGCATAAACTTCGGGTAGAAGTGAAGTGTTTGAATTTCATCACAAGTAATTCACAGCTTGTCCTGTGCACCTCGATGTTGATTGATTCTTATTGACCTTAAATCTGTCATTGTTTATTTCCTTTGTTTTGGTTGTATCTCCCATCGGTTTGATTTTTGTTCCTATGTTTCTGCATAATTTTCCTTATTGATTAATAAATTGGATTGATTTCAATGTGCTCAATCATAAAACTACTAATTAAAATTCCACTATAAACTTGCTTAATCGTGAATACATATGAATGAAGTGAATTCAAATTACTGGTAGTTAATCAAATAAAGTACAATTTAATTGCTATTTGACTGATACACTGAATCATTATTGCATCAAGAACACCATTTGGGAGCGTTTGTGAAGACTATAAGACTTGATAGTTCAAATTAAAACTTGATCTTAGATAGGAGTCCCATAGTAGAATAAAATAGCTGACCAGTGATTCCTTTGTTTTTAATGGTATTCTACCTAAGATTTAAATTACTTACTTTCACCTGTTACCTCTAATAGAGGATAGGCAACTGGTCAACATTCTCCAAACTACTATACCTCGAGCCTTTCTTTCTGGTTCTATCCAGCTGTTTCTTATTCTTCTTATATCTGTTTCCATTTCTCGACGTAATGTGTTCTTAGGTCTTCTTCTTCTCCTTTGGCCTAGATGATTCCATGTGAGAGCTTGTCTTGTGTCGCAGTTGACTGATTTCCTCAATGTGTGTCCTATCCACTTCCAGCACTTCTGAATGATTTTTCCTCCACTGGAGTGTGGTTTGTTGCCTCCCACAGTAACTTGTTGCTGATAGTGTTTGGCCATCGGATCCGAACTATCTTGCGTAGACAACTGTTAATAAACACTTGTATCTTCTGGATAATGGCTTTCGTAGTTCTCCATGTCTCTGCTCCATACAGTAGAACTGTCTTGACAATTGTGTTGAAAATTCTAACCTTGGTGTTGGTTGACAGACAATCGTTTTGAGTTCCAGATGTTCTTCAATTGTAAATATTTTACTCTTGTTTTACTGAACCACACCTTTATATCTACATCCAATCCACCTTGTTTATCAAGAATACCAACTTAATATTTAAATTAATAGTAATCAGAAGGGTTTTTGTGGAGATTTCAGTATTTTTCATAGTTAAAATCATTAGTCAATTGAAGCTAGACTACCATGGAAAACTTAGAAGCACTGGATGTCCATTTCATCCTACTATGAAACTCCTCATCAATGCGCATCCACGATCCCACATTCGCGAGATTCGTACTTTAGGATCTATCAGTCTGGCGCCAAAGTACTTAACCGATAGACCAGTAAGCCGGCATCTTTTTTTTTGAAACAAAACTTTAATTCCTATTTATATATTTCATAACTTACCTAATCTTATTTTTTTTTCCTTTCCCTTAAACTTTTTCCCCCATAGGGTTGTACTAAAGTATTCACTGATTATATTCAACAATATATAATTGTATTCATTACATTATGTTTTCTATTTACAATTATACAAGGAATCTATTTAATTATTTCCATTTTAATGTTAAATAGATCTATGGATAAAAAAACTTTATGTACATAAATAACAAAAAAACAAAAAAAAAAATTTTTTTATTGTAACTCAAAATTGTTAATGATAAACAGTTTTTTGTAATTTTTTGTTTGTTTTTTTTGTTGTTTTTAAATTTTACACTAAAAATTATAAAATAAATAAACAAAATGACATTTAATTATCAGAAGGGGTTTTGTGGAGATTTCAGTATTTTTTTATAGTTGATAACATGAGTTAATTGAAGTTAGACCACCATGGAAAACCTGGAAACACTGGACGGCCATTTCGTCCTATTATGGAAAACCTCAGCAGTGCTCATCTAGGAGCTCTAGTGAGAAGCAGTGACCAGTGAAGTTCAAAACCACGTCTGTTGTGAGAGAGGAAATCAGTTAGTCAGTCAGCTACAACGTAGAACCAGGTACATATATACATCGGTCCAAGTTGCCATATCTCGTTAGCACAACAAGATGAACACCGGATTCATAGAAGTAATTAATTTAGTGGTGGTAGTATATAAAGAAAGGTTGTATAGAAGGATATAGTATAGGAAGGAAAAAAATGTTATGAAGCAATTTTAATCTCAAGGTTTAAGGGAAGATAAAGAGTGTATACACCTACGACATTGTGATCGATTCTGAGCCATGACACACAGAGTCTCCAACCATTGGTTACGATAGTCACGCGGACCCCAACCAGGTAGTCTGCATCTACCAACATGGCTCAGACTAGAAGTTAGTGACTTCAAACTCTGATGCCACGTTTTGGTTTGGCCGCCCCTGACTTTCTTCCAACCACCCCCTACACTAGTCAACATTGCGCGTCGTGGTAATCGGTGTTCAGGCATACGTAACACATGGCCCAACCATCTCAGTCGATGAAGATTCATCACCTCATCAACTGATTTACTACCATTCCCTAATACCCTGCTTCTAACCTCACTATTACTTACCCGGTTATCCCAGCAGATGCGAGCAATATTTCCAAGGCATCTGTGGTCAAATACTAGCAACCTACGAGTATCTTCTACTCTTAATGGCCATGTTTCACAGCCGTAAAGTAGAACAGAGCGAACTGCTGCGCAGTATACTCGTCCTTTAATTGATAGACGGATATCTCGTCTTCGCCATAGGTGACGTAAGTTGGCAAAAGCCAAACGAGCTTTTTGAATCCGTGCAGAGATTTCGTCAGACACCAACCCATTAGAGCTGATCAGACTTCCAAGATAAGTGAAGTTGTCGACGCGTTCGACTACTTCACTCCCTATCCTTAGTTCAAGTGTTGACGCAGGCCAGTCCTGGAGTAACAATTTACATTTGGATGGGGAGAAACGCATCCCAAACATCCTGGCATTATTATTGAGTTCCAACAGAAGACTTTGCATTTTGTCAGTGTCTTCACCAAACAGGACTATGTCATCTGCGTATTCTAAGTCGATAAGTGAACCTCCTGGTAGAAGATCAATTCCTGAAAATTCAGTCGACGAGAGTGTTATTTCCAGCAACAGGTCTAAGATAGGAACTCACTGAAGACAATTAGTGAATGGTTGCTCAACTTCGTGGATCAGTTGAAGTTAGACATTAACACTGTTGGATGCCAGCTCAGTGGTCTATCGGTTAAGGGCTTCGGCTCGAGACTGGTAGGTCGTGGGTTCGAATCTCGCTCGCGAGAGCGGGTTCTTGGATGCGCACTGCTGAGGAGTCCCATAATGGGACGAAACGGTTGTCCAGTGTTTCCAGGTTTTCGATGGTGGTCTGGCTTCAATTGACTCATGATTTCAACTATGAAAAACGACATTTCTAATTTTTTTCTTTTTTTTTAAAAAAAAGGGTTTTTTGTTTATGAAAGTAATTAAAAATGATATTTGATTGTTACTATGACAAACTTATTGATTTATTTATTGAAAGAATTGATTTAAAAATTCCTTATCAATTGTTTATCGATTAATTACCTACCTCTATTAAAGATTAAATTCTTTTAGTATTGTTTATTTGAATCTTCCGATTGATGTGTTATAGACTGCAACTGGTCAATCTCTCTGACTAGTTCCAAATAGGACGAAACGCGTGTCCTGTATTCCACTGCTAGTGAATATCTATCTTTGCTTACAATGCTTATGAATTTAGGCTATATCGAGGCAATACGCACAGTATGCACATATGCCAATAAGAGATTGACCAGTTGCAGTCCTAACACATCGATGGGAAGATTCAAACAAACAATACTAAATGAATTTACACTTCACCTCGTTGCACAAGCAAGTAGCTATCAGGACTCAGTGGATAACGCGATGGCGTTTGAAGCTAATGGTACTGGGTTCGAACCCCAGGGTGACACGTCAACTCTGAGATGCAGGTAAATCCAGCTGACGATTCCCAAATAGGACGAGGATTCCAATACTAGCCACTATCCGTCTATTAAAGATTATTTTACTGTTTTACATTATGAATACATGGTTGGTTAAACGAATAGTATTATCATCGTTAATATGAATATTATGAGTGATTATTTTATGACATTTGACAAGATCAGTCTAAATCCATCTAATCAAGTTGATTCCATATGACATATGTTCCGATAGTGTATTAAGAAGACGAAGTTTATCAGAACTATGTGATATCACTCTGGATAATAATCATATATTACCAGGGTAGGTTTGAATTGAGCACAAACTGTTTTTGAATACACAAAGGGGGTTTGAATTTTCGTATGGCTAAGGCTTCAATAAACCTTAGATTACGCCCTTTTACACTTTTATACAACACCACAAAAGCCGAGTTAAGATCAATCTTATGGCCTGTTTCGGTTATATGTTAGGCAATAGAGGATGATGGATGTTTATCCTCTACTCTTATCGAGTCATTTAATTCTATTTGTTTCTGCAACCATTTTGGTACATTGTAAGCAAAGATGGATAGTGGCTAGCAGTGGAATCAAGGACGTGCGTTTCGTCCTATTTGGGACTCGTCAACTGGATGTACCTGCATCTCACAGTTGATGTTCACTCTGGGACTCCAACTCAGTACCTTTCGCTTCAAACGCCATCACGTTATCCACCATTGCTTATAATGCTTGTGAATTAAGGCTATATAGAGACAATATGCACAGTATGCACAAATGCCGATAAAAGATTGATCAGTTGCAGTCCTAAACATCAATGAGAAGATTCAAACAAACAATACCAAATGAATCTAGTTTATATTTGTTTAAAAACATGATCTTTTTTGCACTAATGAATGAAGTCAATACAAATGGAAAAAATTGAACAGTTCTATTCTATGAAGTTGAAACGTGAAGAACTACTCAAGCAATCATCAAACATGTACAAGTATGTATTAACAATTGTCTACACAAAATACTTAATATCTGTTGACGAAATACGATAAGCAACAACCTACTATACCATAAAACAAACTAACTTACAACTGAACAGATAATCGAGAAAACATGTTGGAAGTGGATAGGGTACACATTACGGAAATCATCAAACTGCATCACGACGTAATCCTTAAATTGAAAATCTGAAGGTCAAAGGAAAAATGGTAAATCGAAGAACATATTGAATCGAGAATCGGAGGCAGGTATCAGAAGAATGAACGGGAGTTGAGAAGAGCTGTGAAGGAGAGTGGAGGATAGATTTGGTTTGAGAATTGTGATGGTCGGCCTATGCTTTTCCACAAGAGTTAACAGGCTTAAGTAAATAAGTATTTTCTGTACTTAAGTTACTATTTATACTTGAGGATTGTAGGTGGTCGGCACAAATTAAAAGACCTAGGTTTCATGCTGTTTGGTACTAATCAGCAATTCAATTAAACTGCTGATAAACTAACAACTTGTTCAATAAAGTTGAAGTAGACAGTGGCCTTCTCTATCAGGTTGTATGGACTACGGAAGCCACTGAAATTTAGAGAGCATTGATCAATTGTATCAAACGTGTATGGGACCCGTCAATAGTGTCCACCCAAGAAAGCAGGTCTCGGACTCAGGTAACTTTAATTGTTCAGCAAATAAATAATTTGTTCACTGGTGTATGATAATCCATCTGTACACATTTTCATTTTCAGTCTGTTTGCAGTATGATATGATAATCATTTATTAATATTAGTGAGTAACTCTCTCACCCTCAAGAATTCGGAGTTATAGCTATGTGAAGATGTTGACAAGCATTCAGAAGAGATTACATAACGGGTAAATAACCGGTTGATATATCAGTTTGTAATCCAAGCAAACCATAATTTTATTATATACCTTCTTGAATATGTTTGAAATGCTAGATTAACCAAACTTCACGTAATCTTCAGTATTTTTGAGAGGTAGTGAGGTGAAAACTAGAAAAATGATTGATTAAATTGATGACATTGGAAATGATGTTTTTCAGAAACAATCATAATCTTCTCATAAGTATATCAAATACTCATTATAGGTTGTTGGCATTATATGTTTAAAGTTACTTGAGAGAGAACCCTAAACCTATGTTGCGTATGAGGATTGGCATTTGTCAATATAGTATATTTCCAATCTTAGAACAACTTATAATCCCTTTGGTATGCATACTTGGGTCATCCAGTGTCACAGTTAAGAATTTTACTAGAGAGATATTCAGGTTGAAACTTATCGCTACTAAAACTGTAATCGTTATATCAATTAATTACCAATAACATCTTATTTATTTTTTTAAGATGTGGTCGTCATTGTTCATTTCCGAGATGTCTTATCACAGAACGAAAAAAAGCTTAACAGTAATTCTTGATTTCCAATGATCTCATAAATCAAGTTAATTCATGACGTATACCATGAAATTCAAAAATTTCCATAAACCTTCCACAGTAATAACAACCGTGTGCTCACTGATAGATAATCTCGAAATGTTATTCCAAAGGTTCATATGAAAAGCCGTGATGATATTGGTTGAAAGGCAGTCAGTCACAGATTATAATGGAAAGTGATTGCTTAATATCTCAAAGTGATTGATTTTAGAATTATAAACCATTGGACAACGACATAATGATCTAAATATTAAGAACTCATAATGA